TGCATGTTGTACCTTATGCTTGTGCAGTTGTGCGGGCGTGATAAACAACATGGTCGTTGCCTTCACGACCGCGGTCTTTGTCTGGCGTGTACCAATGTAGGTTGTCCTCTAGGATGAAGCGTGCCAAAGATAAAAGTCAGATACTTGCACGTGAGGATATGGAAAAGAGCACTGTGAATATGGGCAAGTCTCTAAGGTTAGCCAACTCATGAGGTCATCGTAAGATGTATGATATATTATTAGTGGTAATACAAATCGTCTATTTGCTAAGTGATGTTATATATGAAGTAGGGGAAAAGACGTACATCGTGGTCAAGCTTTCAACTAAGTGTCTGTTTGATGGACTAGGACTAAGCATGTCTAAAAATTAGCAAGCTAAAAATCATTTAGGTCATGTTTAGTTCCAAAACTAAATTCCCAAAAAGTGCTACAGTAGCTATCACATCGAATCTTGCGATACGTGCATGGAGCATTAAATGTAGACGAAAAAAATTAATTGCACAGTTTGGTTGGAAATCGCGAGACGAACGTTTTGAGTCTAATTAGTCCATGATTGAACACTAATTACTAAATAAAAACGAAAGTGCTACAGTAGCCAAATTCCCAAATTTCATCCAACTAAACACAGCCTTACAGCGAATAGACGATTTGCATTACCACTAAAAATCATTTGATGGACTAAGACTACTCCTAGCTTGCATTAGTCACCTCGCTCTAAATTTTGGTTAACAATTGCTAGTAAAATTATAGAGAGTCTCGTGGAGTTGCTTTAACTCCGCTCATGAGCTGCGCTGGAGTTCAATGTAGTGGCTGCTATTTCCCATTCACACCTTGCATTGTATATTGCTCTTATATTTAAAAACCGGCTTAAAATCTTGTTCTATAATTTAGCTTCAACTTTTATTTTAGAAGCATGCATCTTTTTTTTGTTTCTGAACCAACTATTATATTTTTGGAAACTGAATAAATATATATTTTATATAAAGCTCTGGTGATACCGAATACAGAAGTTTTCAAATGGCACCGAATCGGCGAACGGTCGGACTCTCGGCTCTGGTCGAACCCAACCGACTTCGGGCTGCGACAAGGCCGGTTTCTCTTTTTCATTTAGCTTCGCCTGCCGCAGGCACTGGCACTGCCGGCTAGCTCCTAGGGTTTTGTTTGCAAACCCCAATCCAATCCCCAGCCACATCCGCCGCCGCCGCCGTCACCGCCACCGCCACCTTTGGTCGCCGCTACCGAAGCGCGCCGCGGGCGCGGGCGCGGGCGCTTAAGCGATGGCGAACCGCACGGACCCCCTCGCGAAGAGCATCCACGGGACGAACCCACAAAACCTGGTGGAGAAGATCGTGCGCACCAAGATCTACCAGAGCACCTACTGGAAGGAGCAATGCTTCGGCCTCACCGCGGAGACGCTGGTCGACAAGGCCATGGAGCTCGATCACACCGGCGGAACCTACGGCGGCAACCGCAAGCCCACCCCTTTCCTCTGCCTCGCGCTCAAGATGCTGCAGATCCAACCAGACAAGGACATCGTAGTCGAGTTCATCAAGAACGAGGATTACAAGTACGCTCGCTTCCTTATCTCCGCTAACATTGTAGGAAATTGGTTCCTGTACTGTGTTTTTAATCCATTCGAATAACTTAAGACTTCCTTTGCTTTTTAACTGACACAGCATCGATGTTGCTGTTCTGTGTTTTCTTGTAGGTATGTTCGTGTTCTCGGGGCCTTCTACCTGCGCCTCACTGGCACCATTGCTGACGTCTACCAGTACCTTGAGCCGCTCTACAACGACTACCGCAAGATCAGGCACAAGCTCAGCGATGGACGTATGCTCCAGTGTCCCCTGAATTTACAGCTTTCTTTTTTCCTCCTCAAAACTCTGATATTTTTCACACTGACAGTTATAATATAATTGAAACTAGGGGTAAGTATTTGGGCCTGCATTTACATGGGTATTTCATTTTCATTTCAGGGTTCACACTTACCCATGTTGATGAGTTCATTGATGAGTTGCTGACCAAGGATTACTCCTGTGATACAGCCCTGCCTCGCATCCAGAAAAGGTTTGTTTTTAGTTCAGTGAGTTAAAGCCGTGCTCTTGAAAATTATTTTGCTTGTGGCATTTTACATTGGCGTACTCATATTTAAAAAGTCTTGAACGCTCAGTTTTGTCTCATGTATGGCATTTTCTGGATTGTTTGAACAGATGGGTTCTTGAAGCGTCTGGAACTCTGGAACCGAGAAGAAGTGCACTTGAGGATGATTTTGAGGAAGAAGAGGAGGACAAGGTGGAACTGCCTATGGAAATTGATGAACCTAACGGTCGTGAAAATGTGAGCAATTTAGAAGAGAATCTGTAGTGAATCTACCAAGTTTATTAATGGCTTGCTGAATCCGCTTTTATCATCTTTTCAGGATAATCATCGTGGAAGGAGCCCTACAAGGGAACGGGATAGGGACCGGGACCGGGACCGGGACAGGAAACACGAAAGGCATCACAGGTATGCCCCTCATGAACTGCACTGCACTGCACTGCACTGCACTCATATACCGAGTTTCCTGTTGAATTATTCTGACTGTTTCTTGAACCGCTTAATGTGTCTAGCATCAATATTGCGTCTTGCATTCAATATGTGAGCCTAAGGATAGCTGCTTGTTTTGGTTTTAAAGAAGCTGAAATTTCAACGATGTTCTGATGATGTATCAAAATATCATTCTTAATTTGTGAAGTCTAGTCTAGATGCTTTTGATTCTTATTCTTGATATATCATATACCGGAAGCTGTTGCTGCATCATTGCATGCTGTATATCAGTGTTACTGCCATGGCATGTTAATATCAAGAGCCATTGGTAGGTATACCACTTCCGACAATGAAAATCGTGGCCCTGCCAGGTTTCTCTGCACTGATAGTGTGCAGTGAGAAGTATGATGAGCCAAACAGATACATAGTCATAAATAATCTTGAATCAAATATCTTGCTTATTGAATTTCATTGCTCTTGTTTTACTTCACATTTTTAGCCCATTGCATTTATTTCTTTTCCTTTCTTTTGCATGTTTTCCAGCTTATGTCACCGACACATTTCAGGCTTTGAGAAGTAATAAGCTTGTTTGCTATCATGAAAGTTTAGATTTTTTTTGTTTCTGTGAAATTCTAAACTATTTCTGTCATGTATAAAAATGTATACTGTATAGGATATTATATTGATTATGTCGTATGTTTTTAGTGACCAGCTAAACAATGGTTATATCAATGATTTTGTTTGCTTTTAGTAAAGCATGACTGTTAAGGATAAAAACTTGTTCCATTTATGTTGCTAATCAAACTTGTTCCATTTAATTATGGTACCATTTATGTTGCTAATCAAACTTGTTCCATTTAATTATCTTGTAAAGCAGATTTAGTTATTTCATTGCACCTCTACTGGTGGATGGTGAGGACTACTTATTCTTTTGGCATGGGGATTTTGATATCTTGAATAAGTTTAATTTGGGATTTTTGGTTCCTTGTGATTGCAGTGACTATTGATGTTTGCTAATTTAAACACCTGTAGATAATAACTGCATGCACTTTTATGTCTATTTTGCAGGGACAGAGATTATGATAGAGATCGGGATTATGATAGGGATTATGGGAGAGGGCGGGATAGAGACCGAGATAGAGATCGTGAAAGAGACAGAAACCGGGATAGGGATCGAGACCGTCACCGCCTGCGAGATGATGACTACAATCGTGACAGGGAGAGGGACGGTAGGGAAAGGGAGCGCCGAGACAGAGACCGTGGCAGGCACAGGAGCCGCTCAAGGAGCAGAGATCGACGGGACAGAGACTGGGAAGATGGAGAGTACCGCAGGAGGCGTGGTCGTGGCAGTGCGAGTCCTCGAGGACGTGGTGAGGATGGTGGCTCAAGAGAGGAACCGAAGAGGAAGAAGGAAAAGAAAGAGAAGAAGGGTGAAGGAAATGCTCCGGACCCGAATGACCCTGAGATCATAGAAATGAACAAGCTACGAGCCTCACTCGGATTGAAACCACTGAAGTAGTTTAAACAAGAAATGTTCAACTGGAGGTGCATCCAACCTTTTTTGTGCTGGACCTTTTTCAGTTTGATGTAATTAAATTGTTGTATTACTTGATGTAGTTATTATATGCATCGGGGCTATTATTTCTGTCTGCATTGCAATGTGTTCTTTTATCCAGTGGAAAGTAGTCATGGAATCGAACAGGGTAATGTCAAACTGAGTCATCAGGAAGGTAAAAGAGTGGGATGACACTGTTATTTTCTTCGTGTCATTGTTTGTGAAATATTTTGGCACATGTTATTGCTGCAATGACGTGACACGAATTAGGTGCAAGATGGTTCAGTAGGTTGACTGTCGCAGGCCTTCGTACTGGCTTTGGCCCAAATCTGCTGCGTATCATATCATATAATATTAACCAGAGGGAAATTTTTTTGCAAATACAAATATCAAGAAGCACAACAACTTAGAAGAACGCACTCAAATGCACACCGGAGTTACTAATTCAACATTCGCTGTTTCGCTCTGTCAAAATACTCAAAACGCACACACGTTAGGAAAACAACCTAGGAAAGCTATCACTGCAGCAGAGGGTCATTTCGCCCCTGTGGCTGCAGCGCACCAGAGGGCAGAGGCGGCTTCCGCCAAAACCTCCCAGACGGCTACAATGATGCAGGCTGGCTCAGATTAATCGAATCCTTGAATTTGTATCATTGCTCATTGATTACTCAACATGATGCGGCATTATATGAAAAGTTCTCTGGAGGGAAACCAGAAAATAAAAGAAAACAAAGAATAATCTATTTATCAACATCGTTTCTGCATATGATCTCATCTTTCACCATTGTAGAGATCCACTACTACAAACGCCCAAATTCAGGGTTTCAGGCTGTTCTAAGCTTTCTGCGATGTCTTAAAGCAAAACCCCGCAGTTATTACAGCACAGCAAGCAGGCATGCCTAAAGAAGAAATGACAACATTACTTGCCTATGGACATCAGAATCTTCCAGCTCAAACGCATGTGCAACGGCATTGGCGCAACAAAGCTCAGCTTCTCCAGATCAGAGAAATCATGGTCAGGATCTGAAGACTGCAGCTGCTGCATAGCTGCTGAGATGTCAGGAAGGATCATATGCTTGCAGTGTAGATGCAGCTGTGGCTGCTGCTCAGCTAGGCTTCCACCGCCCAAAGCAAGCCCAAAGGGAAGCTTCCTTTTCTTGAGCATTTCCTCGTCGATTGTTTGCGGCATGGGAAGAGGCATCCAGTTCTGGTGCGCTTGCCGTCCGTACTTGTAATCCCCAATGATTGGTGTTCCCAGAACCTCCGCACAATGGACTCGGAGCTGGCTCAGTTCAAGAATAAAAAGGAGAGTTTTTCAGAGTGGTTAGTGTGATCATGGTACCTTGCAAGTAAGTACAACGAAACCAGTTTGTTCAGAGATAACTGACATAGGAGTATTATAAATTACCTGATGCTTCCTCCCAGTTCGAGGGAAAAGTTCTAACCAAGTGTACCCTAAAATCATTAGCAAACTTCAATATTATTGAATCACAATAACAGTTATATGTGAAGTAATTTCACACCATATTAGGATGGACTTTCCTTAACTAAAAGCAATTTCACTGCATCACATTTTTTGCTGCTTACTAACAATATCCCAAACCCATCACTAAAAAAGGACGACAATATTCAATAAAATGATGCATCATAATTCAGCAATCTACTTAGTTTGCTAAGCTTACAGTGGCTATCATCATCCAGGACACCTAACATTATAACACTGGGAAACATAAACCTACATCATCAATGTTCATCAATAATACCAAAACTATATTACAGTTTAATGCCTCTGACTTTTCCTTGAATGAATTTGTTTCTATTCACATCTGATTTGATATCTGTTTGACATTATTTTTATCAGCAGCTTTAGTGGCCCCAGAGTTCTACACTATCTGATGCTCCTTATTCCATTTTGAAATGACACTGCTAGCAGTAATAATTTACTTATCCGTACAACAATAAAATGCATTTGCTCCTCAACATGCATTTTTGTTTCTTGCCTACCTTGAGGACAAGACTCAATCACACGGTACTCTGTCAAAGCATCTTGAACAGAAGCGGTATTTGGACCAGCGCAAACAGTCAGACGCTCCGACCTGCCATCTTGTAATACAACCTATGAAAGTGCAAGGCACAACCATAAAATACTGATGGAAACAGCAATCAGTATAGTGGGTGAACAAACCATATGGAAGACGAAGAAGAGCTCGAAGATGGATCAGAGTTCCAAAAGGTGTAGGAAAAGAAAGAAAGGTTTGAGCCAAACAGACATACTGGAGTTCTATTCCAAAAGGTAAACCAAAACTCACTGATAAACTTCAGAGAAACCAAAATATTCCACCTAACACAAATCAATAATGCAATTACCCACATGCATGATTAAAATTCGCATAGTTGATTGACCTGTACATAGAACAGAAACATTTTCTATATATTATACAAATTTCGTCACCATCTTACATCATGGAACTATGGAAGAAACTGTTTCAATGAAATATATGTTGTCTCAGCATGACAGTAAAGAATTTTTATTTTGGGGCAATAGAATGTCTTGAAAAATAACTGTATGAAACTTTAAAAAGATGCATCAGAAGTGAGAACACTCCTATCCTTTTTAAAGGAATTGAACACATGAAGTTCAAAATACGAGTCCAGCTGGCTACCACAGTTTTAAGTACCGGTGGAAAATCGCCTGTTGTATAAAGTAGAGCAGGAAAGGTGCAATTTTCACTGGCAGGTATATCAACTGATTCTAAATGAGATGCAAGTCACATGTGATACATATCTTCAGAAGGGCGTACCTAGTGCAGAGAGCTCCCGCTCTGTGCGGGGTCTAGGGAAGGGTGTCAGTGGCAAGTCTTACCCTCGCCTGTGCAATGCGAGGAGACCGCGACTCAAACCCGGGACCTTCCAGTCACAGGCGGTAAGACTCTACCGCTTGCACCAGGCCCGCTTGATACATATTTTCAGAAGGTTACCTATATAAGAATGAACGTAACATATTTAATGGGCCTTTTACCTATGTGCCATCATGAAAGATGGTCCTGACCTATAGGCTACTAAAAAGTTCGAACGCACCCTGGTGCCATGACGCTAAACTTTCTTGCCTTCCACGCCATTCCGTCCATGTTCTGTTTTGTTTTAACGGTTCGGGAGCCTTGACATGTGGGTCCAGTGAGTCAGAATGTCCAAAATGCCCCCTTCCTAACCCTATCCTCTCGACATGCTGCGAGCGCTGTGGCACGACGTCACGCGGAGGGTGGAGGCCAGAGAGGTACGCGGGCCGGCGCTGCAGGCGCTCCTCGCGCTCGAGGCCAGCGCTGACGACCTCCTCGCCGGCGACCCCGACCACGTCGCCCTGCGCTGCTTCCTGTGTCGGCTCAGAACCCATCGTGCATTCGTGCTCCCTCGACCTGTGCTCCGGCTCCCTGTCCCTGCGCGCGCGGTGCCGCCGGTGCGGCGCGCGGAGGGCTGTCGAGCGCGTCGCCGGTGATATCCAGGCGTGGGTCGACCGCGAGGCCATCGCACGCCTCGTGGCCGCGCTGCGCGGCGGCAGGACGGACGCCCCCGCGCGCGCTCCTCGCGGACATCGAGGCGCGTCTGCTGTCCGCGGGCAGGCGACGGCTGCACGGCTGCTGTCCTCATGGGCCCCGTCGGCGCGCTGGTGGCGTCGGGTACTACGGCCGCAAGGAGGTGGTGGACGCGCTCCTTGCCGATGGCCTCGTGAAGCGCCTCCTCTGCCTTCAGCACTCCGACCTCGGCGGCTTGCTCCCGGACACGGACGAGAACGAGGACGGCTGCCCAAAGGCTAAGCCTGACGATGCCAAAGCCGGCGGCTCCCTCCTCTTGGCCTGCCTTCCCCCGGTGTGGCTGTGGCGGCGTCGCGAGGGCGACGACGCTGCGGACACAGACACGAAGGGCGAGGGCGATGGCGCTAGCTTCACCGATGACTGCTGACCTGCGGGCCCACGCGCTCGTGCGCGCTGTCGTTGGAACTGGAGAGCATGCCGGAGCTCAGCAATGTGTTCACCGAGGAGCTCGCCAGCCTGGGGGTGCTATAGACGTGTCGTGCATGGTGTGTACTAGATGCTGGAAACCGATGAGTATCTCGGGTGTTCGGTGTTCTTGTTCGGGTAACCGGGATACCCGAACAGGCAACAGGGGCGAGGCCAAGGTGCGTACTGCGTAGCTGCGTCAGACTTTGGTGCGGCAAGGAATGGGGGAGATGGTGGCAGCCAAGTGCAGGTCGACGCCTCGGTGGTGTACTCGGCAGAGGTCTACGACCACCGCAGCGGCCCATGAATGGTCTCCTGCGGAGGCAGCACCACCATCGCAACAGCATCTAGGAGGCGGGCAGCAGCCATGTCTGCCTGTTTGAGCAGGGCGGCGCGCGGCCTCCAACCGGCCTGAGCAGCGCGGCATGCGGCCCTCTCATCGGCGGCGCACAGGTGGTGGCCGTACGACTGCCACCGTGGAGCAATACTTGGGAACGGCAGGCGTAGAAGTCCTCGCCTCACGCGGCAAAGCAGACGCATGAGCAAGTCACATCAGGCACGGGCGCTACTTCTGCAGCTTTCTGGATCGGTGGACATGGAATGCTTATCTATCAAATTTGTGATATTTAAAACTAAAAAATATTGCAAATAATTTAAATACCAATTAAATTAGTGAGGTAAAAAATGGTTAACGGCAATCAGTTTGGTGCCCACACACTCAGCTAGAGAGTGGCACATGGGAAAATAGAACTTTATCTCAGCTACTCTGGCCTGAGGGCATTTAAGTCTTTTCTCAGCACTGTTAGCCAACGTTACCTCCAAAAGTGGACGGAATGGCGTGGAAGGCAAGAAAGTTTAGCGTCATGGCACCAGGGTGCGTTCAAACTTTTTAGTGGCCTGTAGGTCAGAACCATCTTTTGTAATGGCACACGGGTAAAAGGCTCATATTTAATCCCATGAGTGAGCATACCTAACTGGGGCTTCGTAGAGCAGTTTAATTGTTTGACGCTATAGGTCTGCTTGGTTGCCCACCACCACGAGCCACCACCACAGGTAAAGCTGCCACACCTATCAAGTCTGCTGTTTGGTTGATTAGTAAAGTACGGTGCGCCACAGTTTTTGTACTAGTCTGTGGCGGAGGTTTTTGCCGCCGTAGACTTGGCAAAGCACACTACGGCTGCGAACCAAGCAGGCCCTTTATGAACCTTGCTATATATTAGACTATATTGTACAACTCTGTTCTCACTGCACTCACAGGCTCGTTCAATGCACAAGAATTTGGATGAGCCACCAGATTAGTGGATCATGCTGCCATGGTGTACAGGCATCAGGCGACTCAGTTGTATATATAGCTATTCCCTTGCCTTTTTCCACACAGGAACAACATCAAGGTTTTGAGGGGCCCAGTGAGTGCATCTCTTGAGGTGGGAGAGCACATAAGAGATTCGATTTGCTGAGTAATCACATTTCATCAGTCAGAAGTGACAAAAACCACCTCAGGGGGCATAAGTATACGGTTTTGTAGTCTTGGGCTAAATAGGCACAATTTGAGTTGAGAATGTCAAAATTCAAATGGACTTCTCTTTCCCAGATAAGAAACTCCTTCAAGTTTGCATGCACTGGTATCTCCACTGAGGATGAAAGAAAATAAAGTACATGGATGAGACCTACATATCTTTCATCATACTTCACCCAAAATGGAAAATCTTTTGAACTGGGATGGCCAAGATAAGTAATGAAATAAGAGAAATACTATGTTGATATTACAAAGAATGAAGCAACAGGCTCCAGATCAAATTCTGAAAAGCAAATAAAAAACATTACTGGCTACAAGTTGCTTTATGATTTTTTGGTCTGATTCGCCAGGGCAACCATCTTATTCTCAAGCAATAATATGCATACAATGATAGAAAAATGCTAACTGATGTCTACAGTTATACCAAAATGCCAACTGAGTGTCTATATTGCTACTTCACAGGCTTTAGGAAGCCAAGTTGATATCAATGTATAAACATGAACTTCAAGCTTACTCACAGACACAATAATAAAATCTGATAATACTTCTATATCTTGTACTAACACTCCAACAGTCGGTCACTGACTGCAATGAGTGTAAGAAAGAACAAAGGTGCAAACAAAGGAACATTATAAATGCATGGATAGTCAAACTCCAACAAGTAGCTCGTAACAAGCTGGAAATTGGCCTAGCTTGAAACAGAACTTACCAAGATTTTGATAAGATTCATACAATTGCAATCATTTTATGAGAAATTTAGGTAGTAATGGATTGGAGTACATGAGAACCAAAGTTTATCAAATTGTCAGTATTAACTGAATGACCAAAACAAACAAGAAAAAAGGGAAAAACTTGGCACACAGAAACTGCAACTTAATTCCTGCTATCAGGAAAACGAATAACTGCAATTTCACCATTAAAATGTCCTTTGGCAATGAATGACTTTGTGGAGGACTGTATTGTCAAATATAAATGAGAGGAAACCTTATTTTATTTTATTTTCTTACTTTAGTGTACCTCAAGGGATATTGTCAGAAGCATACTTTTTGTAAGCAAGAATATGACACGTAAATTGATGGATTGCATTGAGCCTCATAGGCGGTGAGCAACATGGTACTATTCCTATTTACTCAATAACCATCCTAATTACGTGTGGGCGCATGACCCATAAGGACATCCCATAAGGACATCAGACGAGCGGCCAATTGGGCCAGCTATCATATGTCATCTATAACACTTTTATATTCCCCTAAAAAAATCTATAACACTTTTATATTGTTTTATCACATCTCAATGGCAAGTCAAACATGTATCCCTGATTCTGATTTGCATAATGCATATACAGTTAAATTTTCTTTCAGTGGAAAAATTGCAAAAATGAGTTAAAAATGACAAATATGCATAACAGCTGATGACCTAGCAAGTACGAGTTGTTCATATAATCTCTCGTGTGAACAATGGTGAGACCACTACAAACAAGAAAAAATGGAAAACTTGCCATTATCTGTAGAGTATCAAATAACTTTCAGATATAGAAATACTACTAGTTTGAGATTGTTGTTCAAGAGAATTTCAGGTTATTCCATTGTCACTGAACTGTGCACATTTTCTGTCCTATAATTAAGAAAAGATAAAACTAGCAAGGACAAGGTAACAATATCCATACAAACCTTTGCAAGTGGAGCTGACAATAAACCCTTGGGATGCCTAGGTCTTCCAATAACAAGTGCAACATATTTTCTTTGCAGTACTTGTTGAGTACCCTTGACATAATGGACAATATTGTCAAGATACATAGAAGATAATAACCTTGCAGTTGAATAAGAATACAAAAAATTGTGCAAAACAGAGTAATATTATTTTAATAACTTACATCACCTAAAGCATCAGCAGTTTTCTCACGAAATATAGCATGCATAATGGAAGTGCTAAGTTGAGTTCTTCCCAGAACTAGGACGCCACTGCAATCCCTATCAAGCCTGTGGACCTTGTGAAGTAAGAAAAAAGAATACTAAGAAACAAGCAAGTCATGCACAAACTTTCAAACAAGTTGTTGAAGTGGCACCAATGTAATGCCACTTTGCTGAGGAACTAAGAATACAGAGAGAGCTTGTATAATCAGAAAGCATGCTACTTTAACACTAAAATGAGGGTATTATGACATTGCCAGTTTGAACCAGAACATAGCATTCACTAATTTGAGATTGATCTACCACTCTGCCTTGACAAATTCACATATGGCCATCACGTGTTTCTCTGAGTCAACCATAGTTGAGAACGTGCACCTAGCGCAGTGGTAGGGAAGCAGAAGTGCAACCTACAGTTTGGGAGTTCAACTCCCCATTCTCACCAAAAAAAGCCACTCCTTGTACTATTTTCAGTGAACTACGTGGTCCACTAACGGTTGCAGTGTGATAAGCGGCTGCAAGCGCGTCGTCACCGTTAGCGGCACGTCCTGCCAGGGTTCATGGCCTTTTCTTGACCCTACGGAAAAGAATCTTCTACCTTTCCGTCAATACCTCATGGGAGGTCTTACCCCAGGGTCAAGTTTTTTTTTAGTTAACCATAGTTTAGAATCTGTATTCTGTAATACTGGTCTAGCCGGTGGCTTCTTATGATCCCTACCATAATGCCTTATCTATATTTTGTTTGTTTCATTGCAGTAATGGCTTTTGAACTGTCAAAACCTTCACGAGCCACAAGAGACCATTCCTTTCAAATAGTTTAATATCACAAGAGATGTGCTAAACTGACTGGGAACAAAACGAGGTTTGGGATAGGAACATAAGATATGAGAGAACCAGAAGGATCAGGAAGAAGAAACACATGGATGTAGAAGAATTGGAGGAGAAAGGAAAATGACAGATTATTTCAGTCCAGTTCATCCATCTACAGGTTGTGGCTTATATAACAATGCCACCCAAATAAGCCTGTCTTTGGGTCCATGTGTCATCCCATGTCTGTGATTCTTACAGCAAGCTCCTAGATTACAGGACTTATCACTAAAGCAGAATAACTCCTCTAGTACATCAAATTTAATGCCTCACAAGGTGCGTTTGTTTGTAAACTGTACCTTACATAAGCAAGCTGCTAGTGCTATACATGTTGACAGAGATGATAGACTAATAGCTGCTATATTTCTTCTAGGTCCTTGAATCAATGTTCGAAGTTTAGTTAAGAACCAATTACCATGCTTTCAAGTGCTTATGCGAGTTCGCGACCTTGACATGGAGAGCAGGTTCCTAGCATTGATATCCAGCCCTAGAAATAGTGGAGGGACCTAAAACACTCTTACAATAATGATGTTCTTGGCAGTTGTTATGTCCATTTCCAAAAGCATTACATGTAAATTATCACCTAAAACCACATGTATTATCACCTAATAATAATGTCATTGCATTCTTGGTTGTGACTGTAAGATGAGGATTAATAGAACGCTAGCAGAACATCTTCACAGGCTATTATTTAACTTGGTATTAATGAAATATCTAATTATGTTTGGATGTTCAAATTCTACAAATTGCTTTTATAAAGCTCTAAAAAGGGCCCTAGAACTCGTTAGTCTGTAACTTCTTCTCCAGTTTGACTGTCTGTGATGCCCCCGCTACAACTGCGGGGGATGTTAGAGTAATATTTGGTAGTTAGGATTCTAATTCGGTATTGCTATAAGTATCCGGGGAGGCAACTTGCCCCCCCAAGTCTCAATGCAATTCATCCCACACATTATACCCAATCTACTACGCTTTCGGAATTCTTCAATGATATTTTGGTTAACCCTTCTACTCTCATAAGGTTTTTTTAGCCATGGTGATATATCAGGTTTGTACAATATGATACATGTACCATGAGCAGTGCAAGTGAGTAGCAACTGCAGCACCCAGAACTCACCAGCCGAGGTGCTTCAGAAGAACCGTCCTCAAACATCGGGGCCAGTATATCAATACTATTTTTTATGCCAACACCACCCTTCAGAATTAAGAAGCAAAAATGTTTCAAATAGGCTCTGAAATTTTTGTAAACTGCAGATTATTAAGGCCTTAAGGGTATAAAGTTATCTACTTGCACTGGCATTCCAGGTGGTTTGTTGAGCACGATGATGGCCCTATCCTGAAAAAAAATACAGATGCCAATGATATCATTTACCATCCAAGCTAATCAACATATCTTTGAAAAACAAATATAGATTTACACCTTGTAGATCTCAAGGCTGCGTAGAAAATCAATCTCATTCTTGTTACCAAATTTCTTCGTCTTCTCAGTAACAGAAGATTCTTGAATGTTAACAGGTAGAAAGAGAATATCACCAGGCACAAGTTCATCTTTTGCTGAAACCTTTGAAACAGTTAAAACAAGGTCACATACTGCAAGAGAGGACTTAGTTACTAGTAAAATATTGTGCTCTATAACCTCATTAGACTACAACTGAAGACTCTCACTTTATAATACAATTGGCCATTCTTCATCCATGCAAATCTTTTCTTTGGCAATAGACCAATAACTACATCAAAACATGATACATGTATGCAGGATGCAGTATAAAATAACAAGGCTTAGTGATATGGGATGATAAAATATTGTTCCATGTAAAAAATACTGGAAGCACAGAGTCACAGGAACGAAAAAACAGAAGAAAACAATGTGAAAGATTTGTGGCTCCACAAATTTCCTCAAATAACAAAGAAAATACTGATAATTGCTAAAATTTAAATGAAAGTTTCTGAAAAACTGAAGCATTTGAAAGTTTGCTGCTAATATCACCAATCCATGTCATTATTTGGTCAGTGATTGATACTGTGTCTTTCAAAATCATAAACCATGATGACAAGTTACCAAGTTCCTCTTTTAAGTAATAGTACCATGGGAAGATAGGTCATAATTGAAGGGAACAAGGATGTGATGATTGACTAATCAATTGTTTCGCTAACATGTGGCCCCATGAACCAAATGCCCATGATACATCAAGTGTCAAATTATCAAGTGCAAAGATAGAATGCAAAGTCCACAAAATTCAATGCTTGGCGGAGCAACTCGGTGTACCAACCCAAAAGAACAAGGATCCATTTAACATTGCGGTGGCCTTTTCCAAAGTACTTATTCCTTTCTAGATCTGCCTGTGAGAGTTGGTTGTGAGCATCTTTTTAGGATCCATAACAGAACAATCTTACTAGCACTAGTAAAGATCCCGAGCATAGTGCAGCACAGCACAACAGTGGCGGAGCCAAGGCCCGGCCACCCTAGGCTGGTGCCCGGGCTCACCTGGTGAATATATCCAGCTGGGTTTCTCCAACAATATTCTAGACTATCAATTCATCGCCATGGCAGATATATACGTCCGTTCGGCATCTGTGCTTTGCTAAGGCGCAGCCACACGATTGACACAAAAGCTTCTTAGTGTTGGTGTCCTCACCAAACAAGAACCACTGACCCAAACTCTGACACATGCATGAGTGCTTTTGTCCATGTGCTCCATGTAACTTAGGCTACAGGTATTAGATCTGTCTTGAAGAATTTTATATTAATTTTCTTATGGTTTTAGTAGGTACAGATACGCATAGCTTACCTCATTTTCTATGTATTTTTTGTTTTTTAAAACCTTTCCTTCATAGAGTTCATCTAAAACAAATCTTTAAATTCCCGCAGCAACGTGCAGGGAACCACCTAGTTCATAATGATTAGTGAGAACTAATAAGATGTACTAATGAAAACCATACAATGTTATGGGTGCCAGGCCTGCCCACCCCCCTTGTCTCCGCCCCTGCTCACAAACCTGATACAAATTATACTATCACTGGATCTGTTTTTGCCAAATGTTTTTCAAAACGGTTTTAGCTCCACCAGAAAAGCTACTCCACGTGAGGAGCTGGAGCCACCTTAAGGGCCTGTTTGGGACAGCTCCACCAGCTCCAAATCCACCAAAAACAGCCCCACTCCACGAAAAGTTACCCAAACGGTCCAGCTCCACCAAATCCAGATTCACCAAAACAGTGGATCTGAGGGCCAGATTCAGCATTTTGGTGGAGCTGCTCAAGGGGTGCTCCACCAAACTCACATTGGTGGAGTTGGGGAAAATTACCCACCACTGCCACCGGTTACACAGAGATACCGTTTCGTTCTATTTTTTTCTCCGTCTCCTTCTCTACCCGTCGCGATCTCTACGTCCTCGCCACTCCCGGCCACGCACTCGACCCTCACTCCCATCGTGGCTGGCACGTCGCCCCAACGACCGCGCGCCCCTCCCCAACCACCGCAGCCGGCGAGCCCCACCCCCACCGCGAGCCCGCCTGGCCCTAGGCGCACACTCTCGGCCACCGCGCGCCCTCCCGACCCCGCGTGCCATGGCCGGCCACTCTTCCCCCAGCGAGGTCGCGCCCGCCACGGCCAGCCGCGACCGCCCCCGGCGAGGTCGCGCACCCGCCACCGGCGAGGCCGCGCCCGCCGTCCCTGGCAAGGCCGCTCCATGGATGGGGCGGTATGGCTCGCCTGCATCTGAATGGCGTTCACGCCTGCTGTGGGGGCCGCAACCGCGTCCCAGCTGGCCGGGCCACGCCCCCGGCGGCTGCCGCGCCTGCGCCCGAGCGGGAGGAGGAAGAAGACTGGAAGAAGCATTCTTGAGACAATGACACGTGGGGCCTATCCCAAGGGCAAATCTGGTCATTCCCCTCAAAATGCCCTTGCGTGGATCTGGAGCTGGTTGTGTAGCCAAACAGTTCCATGGTGGATCTCAGATCTACTAGTGGAGCTGCTCCACAGTGAATCCCAGATCCAGATTCATTTTTTAAGTGGAGGAGCTGTCCCAAATAGGCCCTAAGAGGAGCCGGAGCCCTGCCAAACGGGTCCTTAGTGTTATGCTACATCTCGCCTAGGCTCTACAAAAGTCCTGGCTCTGCCACTGCAGCACAACCACCACAAATGGCCCTAAACACAACGAGAAACCCAAGATTTGCCGAGTGCCCAGGAGTTTGCCGAGTGTCAAAAATCGGGCACTCGGCAAACATACATTTTGCCGAGTGTTGCCGAGTGCCACACTCGGCAAAATACGACACTCGCCAAACAAGCTTTTGCCGAGTGCCCGGCTCTCGGCAAAATACAGGCACTCGGCAAACCTTAATTTGCCGAGTGTCAGACCCTCGGCAAACTAGAGCACTCGGCAAATATTGTTAGAGGCATAACGGCACCCAATGCCGTCAACTTTGCCGAGTGCCAGGTGTTAGGCACTCGGCAAATAATTAAGTTTGCCGAGTGCCAGGGATTGACACTCGGCAAACTATTTACTTATTTTTTTATTTTGGCCACCAATTTTTTTTGGTAGCCCTACAACAGTATCAGGAACCACATATTCAAATTTGACACATTTTCACTGATTTTTTCTATATTTCATTAGTTTATTCCATTTTGTTGATTTTTTTCGGAAAATACGAGTTTGAACTGCAGGCGCATCGAATATTGGATTTGAATGATTCGAAAAATGACATTCATGTTTGTGAGTGTAAGGTTAGGCCAAATCCAGGAACTGACCCGAAATTTCTATCAACTTGCTCACGGGGCAACGCCACCAAATTACGTGCGAGTTTTTTTAATTCCATAAAATGCAAATGAAATCGAAAAAACATGAAACTTGTGGAGATGCCGTGTTATCGTATGCGTAGGCTGTGGTAAAAATTTGAGAAAGTTTCGAGCACGTTGTCACGTACCATGCTTACAAACCAGGACAAGCATGGAATAAACTAATGAAATATAGGGCTACCAAAAAATCAAACTCGTATTTTCCGAAAAAAATCAACAAAATGGAATAAACTAATGAAATATAGAAAAAATCAGTCAAAATGTGCCAAATTTGAATATATGGTTCCTGGTACTGTTTTAGGGCTACCAAAAAAAAATTGGTGGCCAAAATAATAAAAAAAAATAGTTTGCCGAGTGCCAATCCCTGACATTCGGCAAACTTAATTATTTGCTGAGTGCCTAACGCCTGACACTCGACAAAGATTTTGAAATAAAAAAAAATGGGAATCTTCTTTGCCGAGTGCCGTAGATCTTGGCACTCGGCAAAGCTGTCATGGGTTAAAAAAAATACATCGGCCTTATCTCCCTCCACAGACACTCACACACACATTCTCGCACACAGTACCGCCCCATGCCATGCCGTCGACGTTAGCCCTTACGCTGCCATGGATCTCAAGGCTCCTATGCCATTTTCCATCGCATTGTGTGCCATGACCCACCATGCCACCATGATCCAGCTCTCCTATGCACGCCATTGGTCCATCATCATCATGCAGCCGCCCCGTCGTCGCCCACGTGACAGCACGTGGCCAGAGGCCATGGGCCACGCCCACGCTTGTCACTGGCCGCCGTTGTCTGGCCGTGAGAAGCAAGAGGAGGAAGGAAGAGGAGGAGGAAGAGAGAAGGGAGAAGGAAGGAAGGGAGAAGGGAAGAGAAGGGAGAAGGAAGGGAGGAGGAAGAGAGGGGGAGAAGGAAGAAAGGGAAGAAGGGAAGAGAAGGGAGGAGAAGGAGGAGCCTGGGAGAGAAGGGAGAAGGGAGAAGGAAGAGGGAAGAGGAGAAGGAGAGAGGAGAGAAGGGGGAGAGGAGAGGAGGAAGAGAGGAGGCGGACACGCCGAGCACGCACCCGCCCCACCGCCGAGGAGTGCCCGTCCTTCCGCCCTCGCCGACGACGACCACATACGCTTAGGTATGCCCTTCTCTCACTTTTTTTTTTTCCCGTGTTGTTATGTTGTGATGTGCAAGGTGACCGTGGAGGTGGCGGTGGAGGTGGAGGGGGATAGGTGGCGGTGGTGGTGGTGGAGGTGGTGGAGGTGTTGGAGGTGGTTGTGGATGTTTATATGGTTGCCGCCATCATGCATTGATTTTTGCGGTTTTGGGAACCTCACTGTGGGGGGAGGTTCTGCCAATTTTTTTGAAAATGATGACTTTTTGTTCCTTGTTTTGCGAGAGAAGAGCCGATCCGAGTAGCCCCTGCCGAGCCGGTCTGCTGCAGACACAGTCCGTCGGCTCGCCATGACCTCGACTCGCCACCCGCCCAGCTTAGCTTTGACCGCACCGCCACCCTAGGTATAACTCCTGTACCCGTATCATGCATGGTCGTAGATAACGTCACCCAGTTAGGCGTCTCCCGTCCGAAAGAGATACGATTGGAAGTATGAAATACTTCCAACCGTATCTGTTTCGGATTGTCCACATTTTTTGGACAGCCCGCGGATGCGTAGATGCGTTAGTTTCCATGTTCTGCTCCGGTCCGAGGCCGAGTTTCGGCAGCACCTCCCCGTTGTTCTCCGGATACACACTCTCCCTGCCAGGACGTGTATCGGAAGAAC